TTGTGGGATTGAAATCCCTATGTACTCACCAGGTTTCCCAAACTGACCCACTCAGTTTATGTATATCACAGGTGACGAAATGAAGTGACATTACACTGAGAGATTTAAAGAGATGTAGATCACTAGTGTAAATAATTGTAAGTTCTATTTATGCTTATGTTTCTGTATTAACGATGACATCCCAAACGTTTTAAGATGAATAAAAATACGTTTCTTCGAAAATGTTTTAATAACGTATTTATCGTGTTTTTCTGGGAACAAATTCCGCAACCTTTTTATAAAATGAAGTACTCTGATTTTCATAAAGCATAAACAAAATCGGTCTTTTCTGGCCGTGAGTTTGGGGATGTCACAGTTAGTTTCCTTCTTGTCTGAATGCTGCTTGCTTTGTGCTTTGTGGGACTCTAAGTGTTGGGAGTTATCCATTAGGTAAATACGTCATGTCACATGTGATCAGGGTTGAATAATCTCAGAGTGATGGATTTGGCCCTACGGTGCAGCTCTCGTCTGAGTCTAACCGTTGTAGGGATGAGTCCCTTACTCGAAGGATTATCTGAGCCTCGTTACATGTGATGTGTAACACTTTAAAAATTCAAGCCAATTTAAACTTAAAAAAAAAACCCATTTTAATAATGTTATTACAAAAGGTTTTCAATACATTTATCATAGAGTATTCCCAGAACCATATCATAAACATAAACATGAGGAGCAGTACGATCACGCCTTTGCCTTGCCACGGTCTCCTAAAGAACCTGAAAAACATTAAACCACAACTGTAAGCCCGAAAGCTTAGTGAGATACCCCCAAAATACCAACCACATATACCATACACATAACATGCTATATCATATCGAATCACAGAACAACCATACATATCGGGTCTACTGTGTGACTGGTCCGCCGCACCAGCCAACAGTCCACCTGGTCCACCCTCCGCGTCTAGCCGTATACATCGAGTCTGCAGGGTGGTTGGTCCGCCCGCACCGGGTGTTCAATCCACCTGGTCCACTCTCTGAGTCTACAGTATGACTGGTCCGCCCGCATCAGGCCTTTAGTCGGCCTGGTCCACTCTCTGAGCCTCGACACGTCTGGTCCGCCCTCGTGGGGCCTACAGCCTATCCGGACCGCTCACTGGGCCTTCGGAATAACCGGTCCACCCTAGGTATGTTGGCCTACAGCACAAAGCAGGTCCCGCCTCAACCCAACCCCCAGTCAAATAGCCATGTGCACATAAACATACAATCATATAACAGTTCACATTCAATCAAACCGATCTAGCAGATCACGTTACACAACATACTCTAACCAAGATACCGACCTAACCGGTCACTAGCATAGCATCACCCTATATACCAGGATACCGACCTTAACCAGGTCTCTAACGAATACCATCCTAACTACCAGGATGCAAACATAGTAAAACAACAACATAACAACAATACCCAGATTACAATCCGATAAAGGGTCGGCCTTGGTGCCTTAGACCCTGTTGATATAGTGAGGATAACTCACCTCGCAACTACTGACTGGAAAGATAAGACCGAGATGCTCCGACCACTGACAGGATCTCCACCACTGGCTAACACCAACACTGAACTCAAAACAAAAGCCAACAATTACCAAAATGCCCCTGGAAGTCAACTGGTCAACCATTGGTCAAAGTCAAAGTCAAAGTCAAACTTATCATCCTAACTGACTCTACTCGCCGAGTCAACCTAATGACTCACCGAGTCCCCATGCTCAGAACTTTCCTAATCCGCGACTCAACTCGCCGAGTCACCCCGAGACTCGCCGAGTCTCACAACTCTGAGTCCCCTCGCACTCACTCACCAAGTCCTCCCTTGACTCACTGATTCATGGCTTCACCATAAGAAGTTTGGACCTCATGACCAGACTCGCCGAGTCCAAGGCCATCTTCAACCTACTCGCCGAGTTGTTCTTCCAACTCGTCGAGTTCCAGTCCATCTTCAAGCAACTCGCCGAGTACACCTTTGTGACTCGCCGAGTGCCTCTAGATCTTAACCCATGCAGAAGCTTTCCAGGCCATGCAGATGATCCAAAACATAGATCTACCCTTATACAACCCATCCATCACGTAAAGTGGCAAACTTTACGTGAATCCAAGGAAATCTAGGCATTTTACACTCTAGGGCTAGGGTTTGGGATATGATAGCTTCACCAATCACTTAACAACAGGGACTTTATGCAATTTTGGATCATCACTACTCCAGATCTGAGGTAGCATCCTCAGATCCATCTTCCAATCCCGAAATGACTCATGAAATCCTCCAAAAATCCCAAAACAACCACCATGGATGACAATAAGGGAAAAGGGGGTTCAAGACAGAGGATTCTTACCCCAAAGATGAGCCTAAACTGATGAAGACTTTGGATCCACAAGCCCTCTTGATGCTATCCTTGAATTCCTCCAACTTCTCTTCACAAATCACTTCTTCCAAGCTTCAATCCTCTCAATAATGGAATTTCTCATGATAAGGGTTTTCTCTGGAACTCTCAGGGTACATAGAGGCTGAAGAGAAGGCATAACATCCTTTAAATAGGGGGCAAACCCCGAAGATTAGGGTTTTCTTCACCCAACACCAACTCGCCGAGTTGGTCACTTAACACGCGACCGGAGTCACGACTCTACTCGCCGAGTCCACCTATGGACTCGCCGAGTTTCCCTTATACATTTTCACTTTTAGCCCTTCAACTCTACTCTTGATATTCTGGGATGTTACATGATGGTATTCAGGTAATGGCTAATTGGCATTACAAGGAGACCTTCAGCAGTTGAGGACTGTTTGGGTGGAGTCAGAGGTTCCTTAGGGCAAGCCTAGGATGAGAGTAGCAAAGGTTAGCAGTAAAGGAAAGGGACTTGGTGGAGTTGAGGTAACTCTTGAGGAAAGTACAGATAAATGTGGAAGGTAGTATGGGCCCGTACTACTGAAAGTAGAGGATCCGTACTCGATTCAAGAGGGGCCGAGGTAAAACCAGGGAACTAGTAGAGTGTGTGAAAGGTCCCTCAGCAGCGGTGTGTATTAATCAGTAATGTGTTATGTTTTCAGCATGGTGACGTTGCACAAGATATCAGTTGGCAGTTCAGGTGCCGGGGAGGGATCTGGCTCAAGTTCTAGAGCCGGTAGCTTGATGATCAGATGAGGGATTTCATTTCCGTAGAGATTATGTGCAACATCATTGATCAGACTCCAGTGATTTTCGGTTCAGTTAGAGAAGACATCGTGGAGCTTATGGACAGTCATCTGGAGGCCTTTAGGGCCGAGATAGTTTCAGGCAGATTGGGGCTCGTCTAGAGCCCGATGCTTATGGAGTTCAGGTATCCATCAGGGAGGGAGTTCCCATTTTTAACTCTTATCATTAGGGGACAGGAGTGAGTGGGGCACGCTGTCTCCAGGAGAGACCCTTGCATGATTGGGTAGTTAATGAGGTTTTGCTAGTCATTCGTGAGGAGTTACCCAACATCATTGAACGGGTCACTGGTCGGTTGACCACTAATTTCTAGTGACAAACAGCTGTTGTTCATATGATTGATGGATTAGTCGGGGTCACTTGAGAGTAGGAGATTGGTTTGGATGGGCAACTCGGAAAAAGGAAGCGGGCACATGTTGCAAGGAGATTGGGAAGAAGTGTGGAGTCCTACTCAGCTGAATTGGGCGTTGGAGGTCAAGAGGACCTAGAGGTGTGTGGTAAGTGTGGAGGGACTCATGGGTTTGCTTGTCACAAGTTCAGGTGTTTCAAGTGTGGGGAAAGGGGGCATGTGTATCGGGATTGTAAGAAGGATCATAGATGTTTTCATTGTCACCAGCCAGGTCATTTCAAGTCTCGATGTCCCGTCTTGGTGGTGGAGAGAGTTCAAGGTCAGGCGCCCATCGTTCCGCAGAAAATCAAGATCGAGCTGCACTAGATCGCAAGTATGAAGTTTGAATTCTTCCTTTTTGTAGTAACTCTATTATTATGGTACTGCATCGATGTTAGTAAGAATGTATCTGTGAGTATTATATTACCTGCTTGTGACTGAGTTTTATGCCATCTGCATACCTTGGAATTAGAATTGTAAACTGGAGGTCGTCCCCTCCAGATCATGTTACTTCAGATGTGGTGACCGTAGCATGTATGTGTAAGCTTCAGTAGTGCCTCACTACTTTCAGAAGATGTCATTCAGGTATTGATCAGTTATATCCTCAGTAGTGACGATTTAAAGCTTCTAGTGGAGTAGCTAGCGGATAGTAGGGAATTGAGTTGGAGATGTTTACCCTGAATGCAAGTTCTCAGGATGCAGTCACTAAAGCAAATACAGTGAAGGAATGAAGAGTGCTCGGTTAGTTAAGCAGGAATGGTTCGGATCTGGTAAGGGTTAGTTGGAGCGCCAACAGAGGTAAATGTGGGCGGGCAGCAGATTGCCCCTTTTCATGGAAGGAAGGTTGGGGAATCCTTTCGACCAGTGAGCAGTAAGGAGTTAGCCGGATCCAAGTGGGGGAGAACCCTATGAGTATACAAGGGTAAGAGTACGCAGACCTAGAGTAAGTATGTGATCTCTAAGAAGAACAGATACTAGCACAGCGATGGATGGATTGAGGAG